AATTTTTTCATTTTTATTATATTTTGAGTTGGTTAATTAGCCAACTTGCGGTGTACCGACGGGACTCAAAAACCGAATCGATCATTACCGAAAAATACTTTTATGAAAGTACGGGAAGCGGAGAGTGCGTTGGTGGCATCGATTTATGATTTTGAGGTCCCGACCATTTATTTTGGGTAGCCCGAATTTGAGAGAAAATGGCAGTGGCGGTGATTTTATTGTCATTTTCATGTCTAGACTTCGGGTAACCGTCGGCCCTCGTTAGGCGTGCTGAAAATTAGCGGGAGTGCTTTCTTGAAAGCACGAGAACAATAGAAGCCGTTCGTAAAATTTATTTCACGTTTCGAAGTTTCGGGCATTTATTTTGAGAAGCTCGAAGTCGAGTGCGCATAATAGAAGAATAAAAAGCCGTTTTGTGGGGTTCCGTAAGGTTGCGTGTGACCTCGGTATAACGAGAATTGAGTTGGAGTGTGTAGACAATTCAAGCACGATTCCATACAGACAAATTTCGCATTTTTCGGAGTTCCGAGCATTTATTATGGGAGTTTGAATTTCTGCGTTAAATAGTATCAAAAAGAGCAAATTTGTCGAGGACGAGTTCGATCATTCGAGGCTTCGTTTTCTCAATTTTTTCAGCTTTTTGTCTATTCGAAAGGAGGTATAATTCTTGATTATTATTATAATTGAGTCCGAGATTTTTATTAGTATAAATACGAGTACTTTTCGAGTTAAAACAATTCAGTTTAAGTATACCAGTTTAATTCCGGACTTAGTTTAATTTTTAGAAAAATCTCTAGAGTATTCCTTTATATCCTGCGAAAATTTTTGAGAGCATCCGCAAAAGCCCTTTGAGCGCCCTTCCGATGTCGGAGTGGGGGTGGTGCGCCGCGGAATGGCCGGAGTGGGGGTGGTGCGCCGCGGCAAATTGGACCCTCCCCGGAATGACCGGCTGGTTTCGCCACTGAACCTAGTCCCTATCTCCGAATATATACTGAAGATTCTGAATAGATTGTACTAACCACGTTTATACATGACTTTCAAAATATGCAGCTTAATTATCAAGTCCTTTAATTTGTGTAAAATACACATTTGAAGATTTAAAAATTTCAATTGTGTAAATCATTTTTTCAAAGTACACATGCATTTATTTATTTATTTTTTGTTGACTCATAACTTCATACTATCAAAAAAAAAAAAAAAA